GTCAGAACAGTCCAGTTATAACATGACTAAGGTATTAACTCAGTACTAGTCTCATAAATCACCAATATGATCATAAAAATGAAACATGTATTCATTATTATAATAGCTGCCAGAGGGCTGTGTTCTAGAGTGAGGGAAGCTATCTTGATAACATCCAGAAGTTTGGATTTTAATTCCTGTCAGCCCTTGCTGGTTTGGACAAGAAAAGTGTTTGTGAGAGTTGTTTGAAAGCAATTTTTAGAACTGTCCCATTTCCTACTTTACCCGCTTGGCATCAAAGAGATAGTGGCGACCCTCAAGTCTCCATTGTTCTTTCTTCTCCTCCTCAATTCCCTCCTGACATCTATTTATAAGAGCACTTTTAAAGTTCTCATAAGAAGCAAGTTCATCCTAAAATGAAAGAAGTATAAGTCAGATTAATCCTAAAAGAAATCAGAATCTTTTGCTACATGCCAATTTTACTTTAATGTAATATTATTGGCAAAAGAAAGTATAATTATTACTTTGAAAAAAAATGAAGTTACAGATAAACATTGACAAACACTAGCAATTTAACATCATAGGCTGCACTCAGACTGAATTCTGGTATAACCATTAACAAGCAGAATACTGCTCTTATTTGGTTCCTTCTACCAGCAAGAATAGCCAAGCATATAAAGATGGTTACTTCAGTTTCATTTATATGATACACAGAACAGTGGTTTGTTAGAAGAAACTAGAATCATTAAAGACCTATTTTCTCATTTTGTGAGACAAATGCGGCAGACTTCCCAGTTCATATAATGTTGAATACAGGAGACAGTATTGCCTCCCCCATTAGTTAAACAGCAAACAAGAATACAGGTTGCTTATAATTAAACAGCTGATTATATCAGTTTTCATTTATTTCTCTCTACTTGAACAGATAAATAATACCTAAGCTATTAAATGAAGTATAACTGAAGCACTATACTTACGTCCATTTTTTTGTCAAGAAAAGCTGCTACAACAGGACCATACTTCTTGATTCCATAGATTAGTAAACCCACAATCATAATACTACTTATTGTTTCATGATTTATTACATAAATTTCCTTAGACAGGCAGTAGAGTGTCAGCCCAGTTGCAAGCATATATGGACCTAACAATAAGCAAAATATAATATTATACAGGGGGAAGAAATACTAAATATAATGGAAACGAGCTAAAATGATCCTCAAGAATATTGTACACATTATCTTTCTCCGTATGTAAACTGCAAGTGACAAAAGCTATTGCTCTTGAAGCAGATCACATAAGCCTGAAAGAAGAAGTGCAAACCTCAATTTGTCATTTTTTTCTTACAAAATTTCATCAAGATATAGCAGTTAAGCAAGTTTAATTAACATTCCTTTTAAAAATTAGAGTAATATTTCAGGGGCTTTATCATTTTACCACTTTCTCTAAAATGCTACTGTTTATATGAATCAGTGTTGACTCCTGGTGACTGCCTGGGCAAGCTTCTGTAGTTTTCTTGGTAAGATTTCAGAAGGGGTTTCCCATTGCTTGCTTCCTAGGATTGAGAATGTGAAGGTTATCTACTGTGCTTTTGCCTAAGGTAGGTTTAGACTTTACAGACACATTTCTTAGCTTGGTGCTAAAAGCACTACACCAAACTGCCTCTGCAATCATAATAGAATCAACTTGTAATAGGGCTTTTTCCACATGATAGAACAGCTCTGCTATATTAACTTTGAAATGACTTGATAGATACACTGGTACCTAACTATAAAAAATATTTGTCAATTTTTAAAGAAAAATTGCAGTACTGTTTCTCCCTCAGGATATTTAACCATTCCACCAAATCACACAGGGTGGGTGTGCCCCAGGTCCCATCCCTTGTTATTATATAGTGGAACTTAGAATGTGTATCTTCTCCATTCCTGTTCCTGACCTGTGGAATACCATTCACTTAGAAAACCAGAATGCCTTGGCATTTCTGCAAATATTTGGGGTAGAAGCCCAGAAAGGTAGAATGCTGATATGTGGGAATGTGTCGCCCCAGACTAGGGATCTCTAGCCTTGGCAACTTTAAGACTTGTGGACTTCAACTCCCAGAGTTCCTCAGCCACCCTGGCTGAAGAACTCTGGGAGTAGAAGTCCTCAAGTCTTAAAGTTGCCAAGGTTGGAGACTCCAGCCCCAGACTGTCAGTTTTTATTGTGGTTATCTGGCTATTTGCTAACAATAAATACATGCATTTAAAAATTCATTGTACATTTTCCAAAAATATATTTAAATGCATAATTTAAAAATAAAATCATATATTCATAGTATTTATCATTTTACTGCCAGTAATTAGTATAAAATATCCCTCTGTTAATAATAAGCCCTCAATATTCCCTAATGCATATATAAAATAGTTTGAAAAATCAGAGATTGTGTACTAAATAAATACTAGAATAGTTTCAAAGGTATACCTGTAACTCCTGTTTTAGGATACATATACTGGAAAAAGTCTTCAGGGATTATTCCATGGCGAACTTTTCCTCCTTTCTCTGGAAGTGATGGCACCGGAACCAAGTGCTGCTCACTTTTGTGAAGTGATCTTGATGCATGAATTATGCTGCAATTTAAAAAGTCAGTTAATAATTTTGCTAAAGAAATCCAACCATTTTAATTCATATTATTTTCTTGATAATATTTGAAAGCACATTTGTGATTTTAAAAAATATCTGGGTTCCTAATCTGCATAGTATAGTATGCCATTCATTATTTGTTTGCCCTGCTTTGCCATGGGAGAAGCCAGAATATTTCTCAAACATTTGTAAGTACATTGCACCTTGCCTGATTATGCAAATATAAACATAACTTCCCAAATTCTTACTTCCCAACTGAACTTTTACAAAAGAAATACAATATTGGCTTCATGTTCCATAATTTTACTAAAAATAATCAGGCAATAATGTTCAAGGGACATACATGTGAATAAAAAAACCCTTGCATATTGAATACTATGAATACACATATCATCTTAAGGAGAAATACAAATGTTTTAATCAATTCATTATCACTATGCAAAGTTATGTCTGCACAAGAACATTCCAAAGACCATCTTTCTTATAGCTAATGGAGACTTGAATAATTGTCTCATCCTTCACAGTACGCTTTTCAAAGCTGAATTACTTGTAGCCATTCAATTACATTTTTCAATTTCACCAAACTACCGAAAGCAGAGGGTTTTTTTTTCTTTCTTTCCTATATTTTCTGATAATAAATCCACATCAATGTATAAACCACAGTAAAGGTGGTCAAAAGCCGCTGACCGACTTCAGGGTTCATTGCAATTTCCTTAATTTCATCTAAGGCTTTCAATCAAAAGGTCTTTGCCACCCAAATGTTGATGATATTCATATGGCACGTGTCCCAGTCATCCAGGTCATAGTTGTCCCAAAGGTGCTTTTTTTAGGAGGCAACTGGACTTTTTTGTTTTCTCTCTGAGGAGGTTTCACTTCTCAACATTCAGCTCTGACAGGATAGGAATCCTCCCATTCCCCACTATCCTGTCAGAGCTGAAAAAGCTTCTTAGATGATAAGCAAAACGTCCTCAGAGAGAAAACAAAAAAGTCCAGTTGCCTCCTAAAAATGGGACAAATGGCCGTGTGGTTCATTTGAGGCAGGAACAAACTGGTATTCTTAACAGAGAAGACCCAGATGCCCGACTGTCTTTCAAGGCCATCAGCGCCTTGACCCAGCTATACTCACCCCGATGACAGGGAGGGTAAAGCCACCGAGCTCTTCAGGCCGCCCGGGGCTGCAGAGAGAGAAAAAAAAACAGAAGCAGATCAAGTCACAGTGCAATCACCCCTCCTGGCTTCACGCCCCCTGGGCCACCCCGCTCTCATTTACTCACCCAGGGCACGCAACGCCAACCGAGAGAGCATCGCGCCTTCCCCAGCACTGCCCGACGTCCCAATGACCCCCGGTCACAGTACTAAAATGGCCGCCCCGTCACCAGAGTCTCGCGAGAAAACCGGACTCGCGCTGTGGTCTCTTAGCGCCTCCTCAGACTCCGGGGTTATCGCCATAGTTATCACCAAGGCAACTGAGAGTAATTTAAAAAGATGGGAGGGGAGGGCGGGGAACCCGCGGAGCTTAAAAAAAAAGTTCGACAGGAATATCTGTTGGTGAATGCAGGACTGTATGTCGTTGATGCTGAAATATTATGCTCTTTTTTTTTTCAAGCTTCAGTTTGTGGGAAAATCTGATAAACAATTTTAAACAATTGGAAAACTGACAGTGGTTCCTATCACCCCACAACATAAATATACAATTGTTCTCATTTTTCCAGGCTGCGGTTGAGATCAGTTCAAGGCAAGCCAATACCACTATTTTATTTTTTGATAGAACATGTCTATTTCCTCTTTCGCCTCTAAAATGAACCTCCGTAGTTGTTACAATCAAAACCAAAATGAATGAGCAATTATGTATTTACTGCACGGAGAAACGGTTAAGCTTCATAACCTAAATTGCTTCCATCATGTCTTGATTCTTCTGTTAAAGTGTCTTCTATATTTCAGTATTTCTCAAGCTCAGCAACTAAAGTTGAGTGAAGTTTAACTCTCACAATTCCCTAGCCACTTGGGGTATTTAAATAGAAAATTCTGGAAGTAGGACCACACAACCGAAGTTACTGAGATTGAGGAACATTGTTCTGTTTGGTTTCTATTCTACTCTATTGGTTCACACTCTATTCTATAGAGTTTGATTCTGTGCTCTAGAAAAATACCGCAAGAAAATCTTTGACTGTCTTGAATCCCACCTGGAAGGGAATCTTGAAAAGTTCTCGCGAGATGCTGGCTGAGGAATTATGGGAGTTGAAGTCCATACAGTTTAAGTTGCTAAAAACTGAGTTGGTTGCAACTCTACAGAATTCGATGATATGGTCTAGGAAAATATCGCGAGAGAAGCATGCATAGGCTTGAACTCCGCCTTGAGGGAATTTTGGAAGTTCTCGCGAGATAGACAGTACTCTCAGGGCGGTACGGGTGTCTTTTTTTTGGAACACGTGGGCTTGCTTGAGTTTGTTGGACTGCATTTCATTGCTGCACCTATGGAAGAAGCCAAGGCGAGTCCCGGCCCTGCAGTGGAGGCAGAAGCCGAGTGGAATATTCCGCCCAACGCTCCCGCCTGCATGGAGCGCCACCTGGGCGGGGCCCATTACCGAACAGGTACCCCTTGAGTGCTTACCAAGTTGGTGTCCCCAGGCGCCCTTTGTTACAACTCATCACCGCCGCTGCCTGGGAATAGGGGCAGGTGCAGCCCCGAACGTCTGAATGGCGACAGGCTGCATTTCAGAGATCTTGCAATCTTTTATGGGGTTTTCGTGGCTTGGGATCCGAGATGTCGTATGCCTTGTGGGTGCGCACGTTATCTTTCTCGTGAACTCCGCTCTCAGATGGAGCCTCTCTTTAATTGGCTATTTCTGCCATGTGAACCGAGTTTCATGCTGTTATGCTTTATGTCGTATTCATTATACGCTATTTAAATCTGTCTTCTTTGATGTGTTTATAATTTCTATTGTTTGGCTTTTTTTAAAAAAATGGCAAAAACCTAATAACGATTATCCTGCGATGTTCTGAATCGTCACAGAGTATAAAACTCTTACTGTAGGATCAGCCTTCCCACAGCCAATCTCATTATACCCATATTGTACTCTGACAATAAAAGTAATAATAGCTTCAAACTCCAGCTATTCTTGCCTACCATTCTCATCCTTCATAACACGTGATCAGGATTGACAGTAGTAGTTGCTAGTCTGTCTGATGTAGGCAACCATCCTCTATTCTAGATCAGTCGATTTCAAAAGTGTGATCTCAACATTTTAAAATGTCTGTTTCAAATTTGAATACAGAAAATATGAATAAGTATCAGCTGGCTATATGAAAGTTCTTTGAGGTCCTCAATCACTTAAGAATGTAAACTGCTGGTAGCAACTGCTGTGCTTTGGTCTGTTTCTATAGTTGTGTCTTAAAGTATTCATGTGTAGTGCATAATCTGTAAACCTGGACACCAATCAGGAAAGATAGCTTTTCTCCATAGGTAAAGGTTCAAACTCCCCCTGTTGATTGAAGGGCACATCTTATGCTCAGGAGGTATTTTTATCATTATTATAAAAGATGGATAAACTTTTGTCATTAAAAAATCAGATTCAAACCTTACCCAAATTGAACAATCCTCTGGTCTTTTTTTAGTTATATAAAAATCTTAGGTAACAGTTTGGTGAGCCCTGAGTCTAAATTTTCACCTTGGTAAACAGCTAGATCATCTGTGAATGAACTCCCTTCCAATACTCAGATATTTTGAGTGCCATCATGAAATGTACTTTTGTCCTCAGCATTCCATTAGCTGCTTCATATTTTTATACTTTACACATAAACTCATACTCTTTGGTAAATTGTGAGTATACAGTTGTGCTCATAAGTTTACATAACCTGGCAGAATTTATGATTTCTTGGCCATTTTTCAGAGAATATGAATGATAACACAAAAACTTTTCTTTCACTCGTGGTTAATGGTTGGCTGAAGCCATTTATTATCAATCAACTGTGTTTTCTCTTTTTAAATCATAATGACAACAGAAACTACCCAAATGACCCTGATCAAAAGTTTACATACTCTGGTGATTTTGGCCTGGTAACATGCACATAGGTTGGCACAAAGGAGTTTGAATAGCTATTAAAGGTAACCATTCTCATCTCTGATCTGTTTGCTTGTAATTAGTGTGTGTATAAAAGGTCAGTGAGTTCCTGGATTCCTGAGAGACCCTTGCATCTTTCATCCAGTGCACTGATGTTTCTGGCTTCTGAGTCATGGGGAAAGCAAAAGAATTGTCAAAGGATCTGCAGGAAAAGGTAGTTGAACTGTATAAAACAGGAAAGATATATAATATCTTATATATCTTATGGATATAAAAAGATATCCAAGGAATTGAGAATGCCAATCAGCAGTGTTCGAACACTACTCAAGAAGTGGAAAATGAGGGGTTCTGTTGAAATCAAACCATGGTCAGGTAGAGCAACTAAAATTTCAGCCACAACTGCCAGGAAAATTGTTCGGGATGCAAAGAAAAACCCACAAATAACTTTAGGTGAAATACAGAACTCTCTGAAAACGTCGTATGGCTATTTCAAGATATATAATAAGGAGGTACTGGAAGAAAGATGGGCTGCATGGTGGAGTCACCAGAAGAAAGTCATTACTATGTAAATGCCACAAAGTATCTAGCTTATAATATGCCAAACAGCACAAAGACAAGCCTCAAACCTTCTGACACAAAGTCATTTGGAGTGATGAGACCAGAATTGAGCTTTTTGGCCACAACCATAAATGCTGCATTTGGAGAAGAGTCAACAAGGCTTATGATGAAAAGTGCACCATTCCTGCTGTGAAACACGGAGGTGGATCGCTGATGTTGTGGAGATGTGTGAGCTACAAAGGCACAGGAAATTTGGTCAGAATTGATGGCAAGATGAATGCAATATTTTATCAAAAGATAGTGGAGGAAAATTTGCATTCATCAGCCCGGAAGCTGAACTTGGGACATACTTGGACATTCCAACATGACAATGATCCTAAACACAAGGCCAGGTAAACCTGTCATTGGCTGCAGCAGAATAAAGTGAAGGCCATCTCAGTCTCCTGACCTCAGTATCATTGAGCCACTCTGGGAAGATCTCAAATGTGCAGTTCATGCAAGACAGCCCAACAATTTATAGGAACTAGAGGCTTTTTGTCAGGAAGAATGGGCAGTTTTGCCATCTGAGAAGATAAAGACCCTCATCCACACATATCACAAAAGACTTCAAGCTGTCATTGATGTTAAAGGGGGCAAAACACCGTATTAAGAACTGGGGTATGTAAACTTTTGATCAGGGTCATCTGGATAGCTTCTGTTGTCATGATTTAAAAAGAGTAAACAAAGTTGATTGATAATAAATGGCTTCAGCCAGCCACTAACCATGAGTGAAAGAAAAGGTTTTGTTTTATCATTCATATTCTCTGAAAAATGGCCAAGAAATCATAAATTCTGCCAGGGTATGTAAACTTATGAACACAACTGTATGCCAAAAAAAAAAAAAAAATCCCTGTATTTCCCTCTCTCACTTTGAATAAAATCCCAAACTGGACTAAGAATTTAAGAACATCATTCAAGACAAAATTACACTTTTTTATTAGAACAGTTCTCTGCTGAAAAATCCTGGATAAAATGCAAAACTCAAGTCTTTGTATGCTTTATTAATTATACATTAAAATATTTATACACTAATCTCTTTTAATTTTGCTTTTCAGATGGTTCTCTGCTTCTGGGAGCATCCAGTTTAAGTGGACGTTGCTGGGTTGGTTCCATTTGGGTATTCAAAGATACATCAAGAGCTCCTAATGAAGGCTTTTGCTCTGCGGGTGTTCAAACTGAAGCAGGAATAGCAGATCTGAAGTGGGTAGCAGACAAAGGAATCTTGGTAGCATCAGATTCAGGTGAGTGTCGAAAGATATTTGTCTCCTAAAACTTGTTAGAGTTTAAAGATAGTGTCAAAGATAGAATGAAATTTCCTAGAATATGTTCAAGAATGTTGAAAACCACTTCCCATATTGGAACAATCACTTCCACAAAATAGCAGAATGATCCTATAGAAAATCAGAATATTCTGGAGGAACTGGACAGTGGAGTTTGGATACAAAATGCAAGCTTGGGATTTTGCTTTATTTCTTTCTTAAAGCTAGTGACAAATTAAAAGTGTCTACTTCTCTCTTTGCCTTTTCTGTTCCACATGTGTGATTTAGCCAAACAGTCAATGATACAAAAATTATTGAAGGTTCTTGTGAGTGCTTGAACAATTGTTTTGTAATGAAGCTGCATTTTATTGTAGTTTAGGATATCCCATATTTCCGTGAAATTTGATGGAACAAATCAAAACACTACTTATCACAGCTGAGCAACTTGGTTACTATTTAATTTTGACACACTGCTCAGTACTGAAATCTTTTGGGGGTTTACAGTTGAATATTTTTCTAAATGCAGGCATTAGAAACAATGATCATAGCAAACTTAAGCATATTTTAAAATAACTATTAAAACGAATTTTTAAAGCCTGGCAGAAACATTTGCTTTAGTGGGTTTTTAAAAAGTTAATGGAAATATTAGACCCATCTCTGTAGGAAATGTGGTACAAAGAGCTGAGGCTGAAAAGAGAAGGCTTGGTTACAAATCAGACAAATTCTTAACAACTTTAGTTACACTTAGGTAGACAATCTGTAAAAACATGGATGGATGTTCATATGAAACGAAGTGTTCTGTCAGATAGCCTGATCTTTAGGGCCTTAAAATTGTCAACTAGAGTGCTTTAAGCACAGATGTAATGTGGTCTCTTTATATTCTTACCAGGACAAGCCTAGCCGCCAAGTTATATACAAACTGAAGTTTTGGGACTAAGACAATCAAGCTACAGTGTATGGTTTTGACATTCTTCTCCTCTGTTCCTCAGGTGCTGTGGAATTTTGGGAGCTGGATGAGAATGAGACTCTCATAGTGAACAAATTCTGTAAATATGAGCATGATAACATTGTGACAACTGTGAGTGTTGTTTCCAACAACACACAGGCCATCAGTGGCAGCAAAGATTTCAGGTGACTCTTGTGCTGTTATTTTTCTGCTTTATATAAAAACATCTGTTTTTTTTCATAAACCTGATCTGACTTTTATGCCTAGTGTGAAGATCTGGGATATCCCTCAGCAAACAGTCCTCAGCACGTACAGAGGTAAGAACCAAGCTTGCCAAATATTTCCTTACTCATCCTGCCTTTCTTCCCAAGTAAATTGCAAGTGATTCACCTTTGTCCCAGTGTATCCTCATGTGGGAGGTTTGAGGAGAGTTATCTCCTCATGAATTAGCAGAGATGAATTAAAATGTCTTCCTTCAACATACTGATGTCCAGTTACTTACTTTTCTCTTTACATCAGTGTATATGAGTAGTAGACACCCAGTAGTTTGTTGTGATAGGTTTACTGTTTTTCAAGTGGTCTTATCAATCTAATTTTTTTTAGCTGAAATCCTCTCAGTGGGATGAAGACTATGCCTTCCATGCTGGACAGGACTGATTTGCTCCATTTTACAGGGAATTTGGAAGGAGTAGCCATATAGCTGCTCCTTTTCCTTTGTCTGAGCTATGTTTTGAATTCTGTCCAGTATGGATTGGAGACAGAAAGTTATATGAAATTTTTGAATCACCCAGATATTTAAAATTTACTGCAGAACAACTTGATGTTAAAAAAAAACAGGATATTAAAATCAGAAAGAGGCACCCCAATTTCAATTTTTAACAAAGGATTATTAATCTACTTAGCAGATACGTGAGATGAGTCAACATTTTGAGCCATAGCAGTTATTTAAGAGATGATCCAGGAGAATTTTTTTTACCCTTTAATTGTTTAAGTTAATTGTAGTGGCTCAAATTGACTAAAAATATTCTCATACCAACAAGATAGATTTCAAGCAATTCAAAGTATCATGGGAAATTCTTGGATTATTGAAATGCACTCATTTTAGGTTTTTGGCTACAAAACATTGCTTTTTACTGCAAGATATTAAGATTGTTATCTGAATAGAGTTCTGCTTTTTACTGCAAGATATTAAGATTGTTATCTGAATAGAATTCTGCTGATAATATTTTTACAATTGTACTTGCTGTAAGTGGTCCAAATCAACAAAGCCACCAAACACTTAACCATGAAATAATAAATCATATTTCATTATAAAGTAACTCCCCACAAACTTCCTGTTTTACTACTCCCTTTGCACAAGGTCTGTTATCCAGGTTTCACTTGTCTGCTTTTTGAGATTATTTGGAAAGTTATTTAAGAAGAAAAATTGTACTAATCAGGAAAAGACATAGAGAAGCACTGTGTGTCTCGTTCTATGCAGATTAATATATCTGCTACGTTCTATTTCCATATCTTTGGCAAAAATGTATTTGTATAATTGTGTATATATTTAAAGCTTTATAAAACAAACTTTTAAAATTGTATAGACATTTTAAAAAATTATATACCTTTTGAAACTTTTTAGTATGCCTTCTTTAAACTGAGTGCAGTGTTTTAGGAAATGTGGATCTAAATGTATTTTCTCAATTCTAGGATATATGTTTCAAGTTGGTTTTGTGTCTGAATTGGAAGTATTCTCATTCCTTAAATAATCCTGTTTATGGCTATTCATTCCCATTATGGATTTATTTATAATACACATACACACATATGCACAAACACATTCATTCCATTGTGGCTTTATACATTTAATGAATAGGTTGGGCTGAGTAATGATTATCTGTTGAACTTCATAACTAAGGGAGCTTGAACTTTTATTTGTAACACACACACACACACACACACACACACACACACACACACACACACAGAGTGAGTGAGTTATTATTTCCACCTTCTGAGCAGCTTCTCAATTGCATTTGTGTAGAAAGGTTTTTGCCTCGTGTGAATGCAGTGATGTTTTCTGGAGTATGTTTGGTTTAAATCTTAAGCAAATCCGTATTAATGGGATATATGATACTATTTGTTTTGATTTGGCTAGCTCATTCTGGACAAGTGGCCTGTGTGGCCTCCTGCCCTGGAAAGGATACAGTATTCCTGTCCTGTGCTGAGGTAAAGTCCAGTTTTTATTTCTAAATTACCGTAGATATGAGTTCAGACTTTCTCAAGACAAAAGTGAATGGAATCTTTAAAATCATCAAAGGGATGAAAGGACAGTACAGTATTACAAAGAAATGGGGAAATGTGGCAAAACTGGAATGTTGGAGTGTATATTTTGGTTGGCAATTTCACTTTTAATTCTGTTTTATTAATTTTGCGCTCCTCTAGGACAGCAGGGTTTTACTCTGGGATACCAGATCTCCAAAGCCAGCATCTCGAATTGGTATGTCTCATGCTTGATAGTTTTGTGGAAATGTTTCTGCTTTAATTGTTAGTTGTGGAATGAAGAAATATTATTCCAAGTCAGTAAAATGAGAAGAATGGATTTGAGGTGGGATTGGATAAGAAGCTTACTGCATGATGCAGACAGATGGAGTATATTAATCTGCCCAAGACTAGTGGTTTACCAATATGCCTAAAAGCCAGCTCACATCCCAGTGCTTAACATAATTATTTGCAGCAGACAGTGTCACTTGAATTACGTAATTCAAGAAGGAAATCCAATTATGAATTGTAAAAGCTTTATGTTAAATTGTCCTTACTGTAGAAATGCATGCAGGATCCAGAATCCAATAGTAATAGTGTTACCTAATGAAGTGCTCAAGTTATTTCTGGACAGCAGCTTTAAGTATTCCCTCCGCCCCTTTGTATCCCAATCTTTTTTCTTAGATTTTGGTCTTCTAAAAGGAAAATCGAAAGATATAAGGTTGAAATAGTGTAGCATAAAATATAGAACTGTTTACATTTTCCTCTTAAATTTGAAAGGTCACTTATGGTCAATGATGCATTCTCAAGATAACCAACCTTTCTTGGTGGCTCTGGGAATAACATTAGGGGAATTCCTAATTCTAATTCTGCCCCTAGATCCCAAAGAAAAAGCAGAATATTAATACAAGAAATAAATAAATGACTAAAAAGTTTCTCAATGTTTTGTTTTAGGTAATCAGGTACTTTTAGATAGACGAGTAAAATATTAAACTTCTTTTTTTTAAGAAATAAGTTAGCTAAACATGTTTAAAGGAGGAAATGTCTATTTGTGTGTGTTTCTTTTGAATATTAGCTAGCAATCAGTTGTTTTCTCTGAAACAGATTTGCAAACCGAATTATATTTTTTTCTACCATTTTTTTGCCATTCAGCCTGCAATGCCTCTTGTAATCTTTCTACCTCACTGGCATGGCATCCACATCAAAATGAGACTTTTGTTTTGGGTAAGGAATATTTAAAAAAAAAACCTTTTTACATATTACATATTTTTACATATTAAATACCCATTTAACTCCAGCTGTTGGTTCTCCATTGTTATTTCAAAGGTGACGAAAGTGGGATGATTGCACTTATAGACACAAAGAATCCAGACACTATCATCAGTTCAACTGTGCATTCCCGTAGTATCACAGGATTAGCTTTTTCTGCACACAGGTAGGACTGCAGGGTCAAAAAAAAAAAAAGGAACTGTAGTTTGTTATTTTTATTTACAAATGTATGTGCCATTTACTCGTAGATGTCAACTCATTCATGTCTATATGTGTACATTATCTCATAATCATATGAAAGCCAGTGTGAGGTAATGGATAAGAGGTTGGACTGGGAGTGGGGAGACTCAGGTTCTAGTCATGGAAGGTGGCTGAGTGAATATATGTCCCTATATAGTTTTTATCCTGTTAAGATTGTAAACCACTCAGAATTATCCTGCGGTAAGATGGGCAGCCAATACATTTTTAAAATCAATTAAATAAGACAGTTTTTGTCTACCAACCTTTATTGGATCAAGCTGATAGGTTATAATCTATAATCTTCATGAGCAGGCCTTCATCCTGCAGTGGACTAATTCAGTCTCATAATAATTACACATACACTCACCAGACAAAGAAAAGCTTTCTAAACATTGTACGAACAGCAGCATGAAAACTGAAAGGCCTGTTAATCCTGCCTTGCTATTACAAACACTATAAAAGCATTACCACTTTTTACTTTCCAAGTGGATATACAAATAGTTTATCTGCCAAAACTTCTTCCCTTCCTTGGTGTTTTGTAAAATTGCTAAATCTAGAAGAACTTTCCCATGGCCATTTGAATTTACAAAGATCTATATAATTCAGAAGCACATGGCTCTGGTGTAGGTTGTCACTTGGGACCTGGAAGATTATTCTGCTTCAGTAATAAACAGAAGGGGAAGTCTCTGTGGAAAGTCTTTTTCAAGTTTACAGTTGTCTTTAAAAATTTGTTCAACTTTAGATTTCCCTTTGAAACAATGAAGGCTAAAAAGTTACTAATTCTTCTAGATTCTGCACAAGCATTTCTTTTACAATAAATTTTTATTGATATCTTTATTTTCAGTTGATCACATGGTATAACAAAAAAGGACTTGATTGGTACACTTGGCTAAAATTAAAGTACAACATTGATTTTACCAACCAGTTTTCCCTTTTACTAAAATATTGATAATCTTTTAATTTCATATTTAAACTACAAAGGCTACTTTATCTTTGGTCATCTTGTGTTGTGTTGTTACAAAAAAAGATTCTTGTATGTAAACTAGTCCGCTCTTTCTCTCTGGAACTCACTAAATATATAGTGTTTTTTTTTTCACTTCAGACAATCTCTTTTATACCTCTCCTTTTGGATGACATTGTTTGCTGTATCCCTTATTAATCTGATAATTATTTCTGTTTCTTCCCCAGTTTCAACATATAGATTACAAGGTTTTCTTTGCTATGACATGTATTTTTTATTTATATGTCATTAATAAGCTCTCATATTTGTTTGTCACATTTAAACAAAAACTAGAAAAATATTCTATGTGTTAATAGAAGCTTTTTCTTCCTCTAGTTCACCTCAGCTGGCTTCTATCAGTGAAGATTGTTCTGTTGTTGTTCTTGACTCCAGTTTTTCAGAAGTGTGAGTTTCAAAAGAGTTCAATCCACTTCTCTCTTGCAATTCTCTCAGTTTCTGTGCCATATAATCATTTAGGCTCTTCCTGATTTGATTGTCATCTTGGTTATTTAAATTATTTATAGCTCACCCAGTATTCATTAGTATCTTCAGATGGTGGAACACCAACATTATCTTTAATGTTAGTGTTCCACCATCTGAAGATCCCAATAGATAATGTGCGGGCTATAAACATTTTAAATAAATCGATATTCCTTTGGCTTTCACTAATAAGGCTTTATGTAAAATTGGGAAATTAAATGCAGGTTGAAAGCTGGATTGATGTCTCTCTAGTGGCTGAATATTTTTGGGGAAATGGGTGGGACTTTAGTGAGGACGAGCCTTTCCTCCAGAAGCCTTTTCATTGGTTTGTCTCTCATGCATATGACGCAAATAATAATGTCGTCCTACCTTTTGCTACATGGAGAATGGCCCTTCAAGAACAGAGCAAAGCAGGTTTTGCCCATTGGCTTATTTTTGAAGGAGCATAGTCTATGTTTACAGATAAGCCCATGTGGATTGCTTACAAACATTAGTTCTTCCTCATTTTAGCAATTCACATCTTTCTTCTAGTAATTTGCAGGTAGTCTGGTATTAATAATTCTTTATGAACTCACCTGTGGATTTCTAAACTAACAGAAATGTTTCCTATCTTTCCCAGTTTTAGGAATCGGTCTCATCGAGATTTTGTAACAGGCTTATCATGGTCTCCCTTGAATAAAAACTCATTGACAACAGTTGGATGGGATCATCAAGTTCTACATCACACAATCCCAGTGCAGAATAACCACCTTTCTGGGAAAAACGATATTATCACTGCATAGTTTATACTTCCTGGGTTCTTTCCTCTGGAATTGCTCTTTTTGTGGGGAGAAATAATGGGGCTAAATAATGTTCCATGCAGCAAAGAATGGTCCTATAACAATTTCAAGTTAGATGAACAGAAGATGCCTTCCAGCTGCCTATTATAGCCAGTCAAATTCTACAAGAAGTTGAAGTTTTATAGTGGTTTGGACAATAATACAAAAGAATTGGTTTCCTTTAATTTTGGTTGGCAATACTTTATACAACTTCGAAAATGTTGCAGATGCAATTTTTCTTTGTGTATTTTTTACTGTGGAATAAATCTTACAGCCCTTTCTGGACTTGCCTTCCAGATTTTAGTCAGATTAATAATTTAATATACTCAGTTCACATTTCATATGCATCAATTTAGTTGTAGGGCTTCCATTTAGACATTCTAGTTGGGGAATCTTCTAGTGTGAAGCAAAAAAAAAATCTTTCCAATTTCCTGACACAGAATTTCTTATACATTCAATCGTGTAGTAATAAAATCCAATAGTTGGATTTATGTTTCTTGAACAGCAACTCTTCATGGTTCTCTAGCATACATTGCAGATAAAACCTCACTTGTAACAATAGCAAGATGCATGTAAAATACTTTTTGTTTTAACTTTAGGATGTACTGTTTAAAAAAGGATGGAGACAATAGTTGGAAAAAAGATTTTAAAAATTATTCTGCGTAGCATATCTTGTTGGACCTGACCCAGCCTTCTAAGTTTCCTTTTTAAAGTCCCCATATTTCCCTAAAGAGAGGGCATTTCAGAAAGCTACTGTATTTAGAACTTCCATAGTTTTGTTTTTAGCAGATACTGAATATTTCACTCTACTTCCCCCTACCCAGAGTGATAAGTAATATAACAAAAATGGTAATATGGTAAGTTCTATCAATCTTAAAGTGCAGTTTGCTTTTAAGTTGTCTTACAATCCTCATTAGAAAAGCCTTCCCAATTGGGCTTTCTCAAAACACATTGGGGTTGCTCTTCCCATAGCTCATCCATAATTATCCATATGCTGGATAAGAATTATGGGAATTTCAGAACATCTGGGAATTAGGGCAAACTGTACTAGACACTGTTCTGCAGATTCCCTTGCTTTGCTGCTTGGAAAAGGATTTTGGATATGTTTACATTATGGCTTCTAGTTTGGTTCAACATTTAGAAACGCATGGCAGGAGGAGGGAGACACTTGGAATCTGATTGCTTTAATTTAGATTATATAACACACCCAAATACATATCAATGGAAAAGGGAATTGGCTATTCCGAAGGTATCAAACATTCCAGGATTCCTTGAGTATAAATCAAGGATAAAATCTTGCAAACTCCTGTTTTCAATATGAGCTTCCACATTTTTGGGAAAGGCATAGAAACGGGCAAGTTTGGTGTAAAATGTGTTAGCTGTTGGGGTTGTCCACTACTGATTTTTAAAAATTTATGCTTTTATAAATGTGATATTTTATTCACTGTATTCCAGCCTAAATTTCATAATGGAATAAAAATTATAGACATATTGATGTGGCACATCATGGTTTTGTAATGAGATGCTAGGAGAACTTCTTGAGAAGGTAGAGAAACAGTTATTTGATGTTCTTAACGATTGAGTACTGTCCCAATGACTTGTGAAGCTGAAATGCATAACAACCATACTCAAATGAAAGGCAGTTTTTAAAATAAACTTAATTTTTAAATTCGTGACTTTTGTTTGGTTTATTTGAATTTTGTCTTTTTTGTCTTCAGGTTTTAATAAAATTGGGGACTACAAGCAGTCTACAACTTATGACCACAATTGAGCCCAAAATTTGTTGCTAAGTGAGAAATTTGTTACGTGAGTTTTGCCTCATTTTACAACTTTTCTTGTCATTTGTTAAGTGAATCACTTTAGTTGTTAAATTAGTAACACGGTTAAGCGAATCTGGTTTTCCCCATTGACTTTGCTTGTCAGAAGTTTGCAAAAAGGGATCACATGACCCCAGGGCACTGTGACTGTATGAGTCCCTTGTCAAACACCCAAATGTAAATCACGTGACCATGGGGGTCCTGCAAGTTCGTAAGTGAAAAATAGTCATAAGTCACTTTTTTCAGTGCCACTGTAACTTCAAACGATCATTAAGTGAACTGCTGAAACTCAAGGACTACCTGTATTACAGTACTTTTAAAATTGCATTGATAAATGTCACTTAACCACAGTCCATAGTTAAAACTGATCAAGTTTGCATTGCAAATGATCAAGTTCCAAATGCTACTTTATTCCCATGAAATGGAAGATCAAACAACAAAACACCAAAAATGTTTGGTGAGGTGGTATTCATTCTGCTACATAAATATGGCCTACCTACTTAGTCAATAATTGAGGCTTTTCTCCACTACTAGCAGTGAATATTTCCACTGTTGTGCCACAAGGAGGCAGCTTCTTATTATTTACCTTTGCTGAATATAGTACTTTACTGCAATTTGCCCTATGTATCAGGGATATTCAATTCTTCATTTCAAAGAGGAACTATGGATCTTGTGCAGCCAGAGAATATATGCAGCTAAGTAAAGTAATTATGTCTTTTTCATTATGTCCCACCTGAACCTGGAAAAAGAACTTAAGGTCATTATTCCATAACATGCATCCTAGTATAATAGAAAATAGGTGAAGGCTTTCTTCATTGTGACATCTCTTCAGGTATTTTGTTGATTCTTCAAGAAATGGAATATGTTTATATGTTTAAATACATACAGTATTTTAATTTTTAACAATTTCATTCTGGCCAATATGCAGAGTAAAATAATTACTTTCCATGGTTTTGAAGATCATATTGATACAGGCTAAAATCATGTACTGTTCATGAAGCATATCACAAACTCCTATTCAATTGCAATTACAAATTCTTGTTTACAAGCAAAAAATTTGCCATCTTGCTTGCCTAATAAGATAATTTCTGGTTTTCTTTTCTCAACTCAGAGGAGGTCTCTTGAGGTTTATTTCCCATTAACCTCTTGGTCTAGAATCCTACTTATGTTCTGCTCCAGAAGTCTGTTTTTCTTGAAGTTCAAAGTATTCAAGTGGCCTTAGCTCAAAGTCTCATTAAAATCAATATATTTCCCAAATTACATGTTCACTTTCCCCTAAGCATATGCTGCTTTTAGCTAAGCTTCCTGTATTAATACCTCGCCAAAGAAGCTAACTTCTTGTAGCTTCATGTATCTTGAATCTAGAGGATAAAGGGTCTTCTAGAGGGAAAAGTCAAATGACGTATTTCCAGGACTATACTTGGCAGGAGTTCGTCATTCCATAAATATCTATGTAATTAAGATCTCCATCACCACAGGCTGCATGCCTATTTGAATGATCCATAAAACCACTGTGCCTGGATTCACACAGGTGGGAAACTAAATCCTGGCAAACTACATTTCAGTGAGCCAGCCTTTCTTCTGTCAACTTCCCTGTTCACAGAAACATTTCTATGTCATGCAGACAATTCCCATATATGCTGCCATAACGATTGTTTAACTATTTGGTTATTGAATAAATAAAACATGTGTTTACATCATGCATTAAACTTTATATCATGATGTATAAACCACAGCGGTTGAATTGTGTTCACATCAAACAAACCAAATTATAATTTAGTGCACTGTGTGAACTAAACACTTGGCATGGCTACAGGTCAAGAGATTTGGATTTATTTTTGTATTTGATAAATTCCAGCAATCCCTGCAATAGTTCCCTCCAGAATCCCCTATCTGCAAGAAACTTGGGTGTGAGAAATTCTGTGAACAAAATTCTTAAATTTGTTCTGAAGGCATGCAGATAGTACCAAAGAAGACGAAAAAATCCAGAGCACTTCTGCAATTTTATATGAGTTGCTGTAGTTTCCAACAACCAAAAAAGGAAAGACATAAAATACATTTAGGACTTCAAATCCAACAGCTTGCACAGTGGAGGTTAGGAAATTGTAGGGACTATAGCCCAAAAGATGAAGATAATCTGCATCAGAGGAAATCTATTAGCACCAGAGATTCACAGGGTAGGCTCTATAACGGAAGATTAATCTTCCTTGCTGAGGTTTAAATAAAAACATTTTTTAAAAAAAATGGCATGTGACAAATCAATGTGTAGGGACTTAAATCAGAGCCTGGAGAAATTTCAGAATAGCTGTTCCAGTAGATTTGATTGAATTCTGCCTTCTTTTTACTATGTTTTGTGTTTCCGACGCTTTTGCTACTATTTTAAAAGAAGTACTGCAAAAGTGTGAGCTGTATGTTACTGTTTTTATGGGATCAAGCATAACTCTGGCTTGTTTCAAGCTTCCCAAAGTTTTGCTTTGATTGCAGAGCAGGATTAAGGCGAGTATTTGCTATTTCAAAAGGCACTCTGGTTAGGACTTGCTGAAAGGAGTTGCACGGGTTGCTTGTAAAATATGTATTCTGCTTATGGTATGACTCAGTAAAAGTAGTAAAGCAAGATTCCCGGCCCTTGTTGCTCCATCAGCTATGCCTCCTCTCCATTTCAGACGATTCCTTTGGTATTGATATGAAAGACATTAAGGGAGGCCAGACTAATTAAAAATGGAGCATTTCCTTGAAAAGCCTAAAACCTGGCCTTGTGTGTGTGGTGTGAATAAAAATGAAAACCAATCTGCTAAAAGCTTTTTGACAAAATATATAAGCAGTATAAGTTTGCTGCATTAAATGGATTTGGATTTTCTTTGAAATTAATATATATTTTCTACTACTTTCCTTTTTTTTTTCCAGAGGACCCAATCTCAAATGCCCACTTTCTCCCTTGCTTTTTGTTGTTTGCGTGGAATGCTTGGTTTATGCTATTAGACAACATAAGATTTACAGAGTAGTGCATCATTTTGGTTTTATCTGCAGATGGTATTCTTTGTTTCTAAACCTCATGCTGCTATTTCACTATTGGTGCAAATGATAGCTTTAATAAAATAGGATATTCTATTAACAAAAATGATTTTTTTAAAATTAGCCTCCATTAGACTACATTTGTATAGAAAAAGAAAAATGCTAGAACAGCATTTTGTTGAAGACGCGATAAGGGCAATGCTTCTCTAAAATACATTTTTTACAATGATCTATACTTACCAAGTTTTGGGAGAAAGTAATAGACTATATAAATGTGACAAAAGCTAAAATTTTCAGAGGATAATATTCTCTTGAATTACATACTTGTGCCTGGAATTGGACAACATAAGTGGAGTTTCTGTGTCCTTATTATAGATAAAAGACTCATATTGCAACTTTGGAAAAATGAATGTAAGGCTCCACTTACTCAATGGATTGAAGACCTGATTACCCCATCTGTGAGTGGATTGCCTATAAATGCAGACTTTGTATGGATAAAAAAAGGTAAAGGAGTCCCTGCGGGTTTTACTCCATTAGTCATAGCTGACTTTTAGGGGTGGTGCTCATCTGTGTTTCTTTAAGCCATTGAGCCAGTGCTGTCTGAAGATGTTTCCATGATCATCTGGCCAGCATGACATCATGTCACAGAGCACAAAGCATATGGCAAAACAAGGAACGCCATTACCTTCCTACTGAAGTGGTACCTATTTATCTACTTATATTTACATGCTTTCAAACTGCTAGGTTGGCATGAGCTGTGGTAAGTAATGGGAGTGCATTACACTGGGCAGTGGTGAGACTCGAACTGTAGGATCATAGACCTTCTCCAGCATCTTCTAAGCCACTGAGCCTCTTGTATGGATAAATGCAAGGAAATATGGGAGCAATTTATACAAAGTACAGTAGGTTGAAAAACACAATAATCATACAGACATGCACACACACTTTCATGTTTGCATTTGATTATTCTATAGATAATTGTAACTTTATTGTTCTAAGACCATATACTCTATACATTTATTTTTTCTGTTGCATTTTTATTTTACAAGCACTTGTTTATTTTTTAATAATGTATCTTTTGTGCTTTGCTTTTTCCTTTTGCTGTCATTATTTTAAAAGCAATAAAATGTATTTTAAAATTATAGCAATACTATTGCATTAGAATTTGAACTTGCCTTCAAACCATCTCATAGAATACTTTAAATTATTTAAAATAAAGCAAAACAAAACCAGACAGAAACAAGCAGACAATTGTATACACATTCATGAGGACAAATACACAGACTGCCTTTATTGGGGGCAAGAAAAAAATAGAAATTTCTGCTTCTTCTAGAAAGGAAAGGGGAAAGTCTGTTAGTTTAGATAAAGTGAGTTTGTTAGAGATTAAATAGCCTTTTGTCTGAGGTGTATGGTTTCCTGCCTAAGCAGGGGTTGGACTATAAGACCTCCAAGGTCCCTTCCAACTCTGTTATTCTAGTTCTAGTTAACTAAACATTGGAAGCCCTGAATCAGTACACTTAGCAAATAACCAATTTGAGACAGAAGGACTGGTCCTTGACTGACATTCTATGCAGACAGATAATGACCAGTTTAGAATAAGCAATTATTAGCTGAATGACCACTCTTTGAACTCCAGACTAACCAGAATATAAAAGATCATGAAAAAATCCCAAGGGTGCTTTTTCAAGAGGCGGTTTCTGGTTTTTCTTTGAAGACATTTCTGAAGAAGCTTCTTGGATGAGAAGCAAAATGTAAAGAAAAACCAGAAAGTCCAATTGCAAATGCACCTTTGGGACAACCATGACGTGGAGGACTGAGAATCTCCATAGACATCATTTGAGAAAGCCAGGTGGTTTTTAAAAACAGTGCAGAAATAATGGCTACCTTTAAAATACGCAATGAATGTTTAGCAATTGGCTGATGTTGTAGCATATCTCAATGATTGTTTACAAACATGCAGTCTGAAATGAGTTTCAGAACTTTGAAAAGATCCTGAGAATACAAAGCTGTTGTTTATTGTTTTTCTCAATGTATGTCTCCTACCAAAATAAGCTATAATCAATCAAAATTATTATTTCTTTGAAACCGGAGTTTGGTCAAAACTAATCATATGAATAATCAATATCGGTAAAATCTAAGACAATTTCATGTAACGTTTATGCTGAATTACTGAAAATGCTACATTAATTGCATACTGGAAATATCCAGTATCTCCATTTTAAAGTATAATGTACACATGAAGAAATCATGAACAGAATATCTCACTATTTGACCTGCAGTTAGACTCCTGCTTCTATTGAAGGTCAGAAGCCTCCTAGATCTTATAGACAAGAGGGTTAGGACATTTTTTTCCCAATCAGTTTATCTTAGTATCAAAGGTTATAATCAGGGTTAGTCCAAGTTGTTCCCTTGTCTGAAGCAGAGCAACAAATGGGTAGTTCCTCTAACACATGAGGCAGAAAAATCACAAAATATATCTTTCCATCCTGGCAGTAAAAATACAGAACAAAAAACAAATCAAAGGAAAAAAACATAAATAACAATTTACTTCGTTTCATCCCACCCATCTTCTGTTTAAAGTAGATTTACTCTGATTCCTGATAGAGGTGGCTTTAGGTTCATGAATATATATACAAGCAAGAAATAAAATAATATGTAAATAGAGTGCATAAATACAATATAGAAGATGCTTTGCAAACTATACCTATTTAAACAATTTTTACTTAAATGTTTGGAAACATTTGATTGCTTTAAATGGGAAGCATCCCTAGAACTCAAACTCAAATTATCATCATCATCATCATCATTCACCATCTTCATTATCACTTTAGCCATTGTCTATCAATTGCAGGACGAAGGCCTCTTCCACCTGTTTCCACCTAATACGGTCCTGAGCTTTGTTTTGCCAATTGGGCCCGTAATACTTGATGTCATCCATCTTGTTTTAGGTCTCTTTCATAGATGCTTTATAATTTAAACTGTTATCTATTATATAAATAAATAATCCTTTATATAAAAAAAATGGCCATAGTTTTGTTTATTTGCAAAATCTATATAAATAAATTGAGAAGGCCACTTTCCCTCTCAGTTCTAAAAACTAGAACTAAATCCATAGATTATTGGTCTACAGGTAAGCCATTAATTGCAACCATAACTGGAAGCAGAATTTCTATTATTAAGTAAGGTGGTTGCTAAATGAGCTGTGCCCAATTTTTTGATTATTTTTGCTCATGGTTATTAATAATTGAAGTTCTTAAGTTGAATCACGTGACCATTAAGCAAATCAGCTTTCCCCATTGATTGGCTTGTCAACTGGAGAGGTCACAAATGTCAATCACATGACCCTGGGAATGCTGCAACCATTATAAATATATGCCAGTGGTTAAGCAGGTGAATTTTGATCGCACGACTGCAGAGATGCTACAACAGTCGCAAGTGTGAGGATCATTTGTAAGTCACTTTTTCAGTGCTGTAATTCCGAACAATTGCTAAATGAATGGCTGTAATTCAAAGACTACCTGTAAATCTCATGTATAACCAATACAAGCCAAAATGGATTACAGCTGTTTTCCTCTACTTAGATAGTAAATCCCATAAGATTTACCTCCAAACAAACATATTTGACATTTTCCAAGGTGACCTTTAAGCATGCACTGTTTCCCCTTTGATTACAGAGATATAATTTGATTTAATTTGTACAGATGCTGGCACCTGTTCTACTAAATACCTCTCATATCCATTAAATATTTTTAACGCCTAAACCAAAATAAAAAACCATAAGAAAAACAAGGTTGTAAATAGAATGATTGCATTCTTGAAAACTAAAACAACGCAGCAATGAATCACCAGGTTATCCTGGCAGGTATATGTTGTTTGGTTCATTTAAATCTTGTACAGTTTTTAATTAAAAATGGCTCCCAAATTAAAGAAAGTGCAAAAACTAAATGACTAAAAACAATTTTGAAGAAGTTCAGTCTCAAATATTTTGCTAGATCTAAGAATATTTGACAAGGGCTCCCGAGTTTCTCTCTTCTTTTCTGTTCAGGATTCTAACAATGGTGTGATAAACAAAAATATAGTGGGTACAACTTAGAGATGCACTTTCTTTTGTGCTAGCACTATTGAAACTGCAAGTATCACGAAATTTTAATCCTTCTCTCTTGCTCATCCTTTATTCCGCTGAACTCCTCCTTTCTTTTCCCACTACTATGCCATTTTCTTCCAGCTAACAGTTGGATTTCTAGGCCATGCATGGCTGATCTAGAGTAGCCATGAATGGGTTGCTGAACTCATTCTTTATCTTGGATCTTGGATTCTGTGCTTCACCTTTCTGTTGCACTCTTCCTCTTTTGCTTACTTTTCCTAAATGACCAATGCATGTTTGTAAAGATGGTGCTAGTAAGGTAAAATTTACTCCATGCCCGTCCTTTCAAAGCATAGACACCTATTAGTCAAATGTGCCCTAGAATGAAGACACATAGGTATTCTTACATTATGCAAAGAAGCTGGTTACCAAGATAGCTTCATAAGACTCATTCATAATATTGTCTGAATAACTTAAAACTAATATGCTTACAAAAAGATACAGGTCTTACGGAGATATACAAAGGCAAGTTATAATACAGAACAAAGAATGAGGTCCAGATTGAGTAATAACAAGCTTGACCCAAGCTGTGTGCAGATGCAGAGCTTCTGACAGAAAGGTCTTAATGAAGACCTTGGTAGGAATAAGAAATGGGTTGTCTTGTTCCAGGCCTGACAGTAAATGTATTTTGAGTTCCATATTGTGGATTAACACGGAAAGGCCTAAACAGAAGAAATATAAAAAAATATTATTAGTCCAATAGAAATTCTTAGCAATAAATAAAGACCTGTGATTCAGTTAAGAGGTATATTTCATTCTAAGTACAAGAAAAAAATGTTGAAGGAAGAAATTTTTCAAATCAATACTATCTGAGATTTTGTTAGCAAGATAGCTTTTGATTACCAGAAACACAGACAGCGAATATGAAATTCTTAATACAGATTTTTTTTGGCATAATGGCTTTCTCAGCTAAATTCTAATAAAAGTTATCTTACCGATATAAATAATAATATGGATGGTTCGAATATTTTTGCTTCTCTTTCAAAAATAACTAAAATGCCAGTCTACCTGGAAACAATAATTCTGTTGAATTACATAAGTTTCTTGGTACCCATATCTTCTCTCTAAATATAATTTGAAATGAACAGCTGCACAGATCAGTCACCCACTACCAATACAGTATTTTCCTCTCAATTGAGCTCTTGCTGATTTTGACAGAGATCTTAGCTATAGGAATAAGTGTGGAAGAAGCAGGCATTTGGCTGAAGTGGTAGTCATCTGGTCACCTGACTGAATAACTTGATTTGAAATGGAAAATAACTCTACTTAGAGCATCATAATTCTAAAAAGGAGAAAAAAAAAGATTCCTTACATTATACTGGACAAAAGAAACTGCTGAATGTCAGCCTGCATGCTGACTTCTGGCCAAAATATTTCCATGCATCCCCTACTTACATTACAACTCCTATATTTATGACAAATAAAACATACCTGCCAGAGGCATTGGTGGAATAGTCTCCATTTTGGCTTTTATATGGAACATCATTGACAGAAATATTGTAAGGTATAATTTTTCCAGGTATTTCCAAGGATACTCTTCGACCCTGTGTACCATTGGGAACATTTCTGTGAGAATAATTTGCTCGGTGAATCCCTTCCACAGCTGAAGAGTTGTAGCCATAGGAGTTAGATGTGCTCATACTGCGAGCAGCCATAGCTGTCCTACTATATAAGTCATCAGTCTCTGATAGATAAAGACGTTTTTTAATTAGGGGGCGGCTATTGGAACAGCTACTAGGGCAATTGGAGGTATAGCTGCCACCTGGATAATGGTGACTATAGTCACTAGGCCTTTGGACTGCTGATGTCAGAGAATAACTGTTGCCATGGTTATAGCTTGAGTTGTTGAAATTAAGTTGCATATCTGAGATCTGAATATCTGAAGACAACTTTGGGATTTCAGAGGTATCATTGCTGAACTCTGGTGGTGGAGGAATTATTTCATAATTGAATCCTTCTTCCACCTCATCATTCTTAACTGTATGGTTTTGGGGTAGAGGGGAAAAGTGAAAAGGACTTTTGGATGTGCTCAATAGATCTTGCTGCTTCAAGTGACTGGAATTTGAGTTGTGAAGCAAAATAGAAGAACCACACTTATTTGATGAAAGACTCTGAGACTCAGTTATCTCCCTGAATTTCATTGTACTCCTGCATTGTTCAGTAGTGTTGGAAAATATTTGTGGCATATTTTCACTTTGTTCTGAAGAACTCCTGACATTATTGTTGGATGCATTTGATCCATTACACTGCTTACTTTCAGAGACTGCCAATAAGTCCTCATGTGGGAACTTTGGGACAACCTTGATAGTGTTGGGTTTTGAATTGCTGTAATAAATGGTGGATAACCCATTCTCTGATTGGCTGCTATTGTTCAGTTTGAGCTGAGGTTTCTCCGATAAAGAACTATTATTTTGAGAGGCAGAAGCAGAACATTTGACTCTATTGGCCCGCTGTTGTGCAGCCAAAAGAAGAGCCATTGGAGACCCTTTCTCTAATTTTTCTCCTGTAACAGGATGAAACAGAATATCATTGCTCGGTTGCTTTGCATTGCTAGATAGTTTGGATGTTGTTGAGGGCATGTTTCCAGTAGAATCTCTTTGATTTTCATTATTACATGAGCTGCTGAGTCCATCATGTGCAGCTTGGGAAGAAATTGCAGAGACAAGGCTGTCAACAGGTTCCAGTCTCGACCTATGAGTCATATATTGCACAGAGAGATCCTTGATGGGAGAAGCAGTCTGTGTGAGTAAGGTAACCTCAGAATTAGAAGAGGAAGATGTAGCTGGACCCAAATGTCCACTTTTGTTTTTTAAAGATGAAACTGGTGACTTGCATGTTTGGACAGGTGCACTAGGCATCGTTGGTTCTTTCTCTGTACCTTCCAGTTTTGCTGTTGAAAATTTCAACTCACCATTATTGACCTTATTGCCAGAAAACTGAAGAGTAACTTGTTTTCTTGTTTCTGGATTATGTCTCAGGTTTGCAAGCGCCAAAGGTGGGCCTCCTTCCTTGACTGGACACAATAAAGCTTCCAACTCCTCTTTCAGTTTCATAGCACAGTTTTCTTGAGTGGTGGGAAATTTGTCTGTAGTTGAGAAAGCATCTTTGGTGAAAGCATCTTTGGTGGGAAATTTGTCTGTAGTTGAGAAAGCATCTTTGGTGAAAGATTTAGCTGGAGAATTATTGGCACATTTCTTTTCTTTCTTCTCATTCTCAGCTCCTTGTGATAAACGTGTTTTTTTCACATCATGCTTAACTAGTTTTAATTCATCTGTAGTAATATTGTTGCTATCAATATCTGTGCCTTTAGCTTTAGAAACTGTAATCCTTTCAGTTGGTCGGTCTTCCTTTCTACAAGTTGAGGACAGTAGGGTTGACAGTTCATTCTTCAACTTATCTAAATTGCAACGTTCTTTCCAGATATCATCATCAGACGATGCATGATCTGGAGATGAAAATTCTGTTCTTTCTTCGGTGGACCAAGATAAATTTTGTTTTTTCTTCCGTGGGCGACTTTTGGAATCTGATATTTCAGATTCTCTGGCTAAAGCAGAATGCTTTTCCATAGTAGTTTTGGCTCTAGCTTCTGCCTCTGCGTAAACTATGGTAGCAGATTGTACAGTAGGTGACAGAGAAGTGTGACTGTCAGGTGCCATTCTAAGTAAATATTCTTTGGGACTGGAGTCTTTTTCTCCTGAAGAAATTGATGATGTTCTCATGGGGGTTGGAGGGGGTACTTTTAATGATTTAGGGAAAGTGAGATGAGGCTCTGGACTGGATTGTGGTAACTGTGTCTCCTTGTGAATAGGTATTGCTGGAGAATTGAGAGAAGTCTCTGATTTCCATTTGGACACACCATTTGAGAAGAGTTGTGTATGAACTGGTAATGAAAGTGGAGGAATAGAAGATACTGTAGTATCCATAAAATCTGGAGGAGGGGGAGGGGGAGGAATGAAGTCTGGTGGAGTTGGAGTACTGGGAGAAGACACATTGGAATATGGGAATGACGATGGAGCCATAGTTGAAAGACATGGAACTGGCAATGCTGGTGGAGGTGGAGGTGGAGGAGTCATTGGTGGTGGAGGTGGAGGAGTCATTGG